CGAAGTTGCACGCGTGGGCAGCTCGCCGTCTTGCGCCGGTGGACATATCCACATTGGTCAACGCGCCGACGTTCAACGTTTCCTGCGCGGAAGAGATATTTCGATAGCCCCCGTACTGCCAATGTTATTATGCTTGTCTTCTACTCGTGCATTGTTTTGTTTGTTTTCTCCTCCATATAATTTTCCTCTGCTCCCCGTCCATGTAACCATCCATGATGTTTTCTTTCTCGCCCCTTCGCATCTGCCACGCGCGGCGCGCCGCGCGCGCGCGACAGGCCATCGCCCGACGCCGTGGCGCATCGAGAGCGCGCGCGCATTGATTGCGGAGAGAACGTGTGCGATCGTGCTGCGGAGGCCCAACGCCCTGGCAAAGTTGCGTGATGTGCGGCCTCAGGCTGGCCAGCTGGTTACCCGACTTTGGTTTGCGGCTTTGCCTTCGCAGGGGGCGCGCCTCACGCAGGGCGCGCGCGCGTTGCCTCTTCCAGGTTCGAGAGGAGATTTGAGAATCAGAGACGTTGAAAAAGGCGCTGGTTTCGGTCTTCCTTGCCCGCTAGGACCGCGCGCACGTCGCGCGGTGCACGTCGCGCCAGGCAAGCAGGGGCCAATGCTGCACGCGCAGACGGTTCCATGACTTAAAGCAGGTGCCTTAGTAGGACGCGGACCCATGACCATGACCTTGCACTCCGCCATCATCAACGCCCCGAATCGTCAAGAGTAGACCCTATGCCGGCGGGGACCATGAGCATCCCCAGGATTTGATTGGCGGGCGAGGGTCGCGTCTGTCGCTGTCAGGTTACTCTTCCCGCTCCTCTTCTCACTGCAGGCGCATGGGCACGGGCGCCCCCCATCGCTCCCCCCCCCCCCCTTTTCCTCCCTCGCCCGGCCCTACAGCCTCCAGGGGTCGTGGGGGCCTCCTCCCCGCGCCTCCTTGGAGTCGGGTTTGGCCCCTCCTTCCTTTGCTCACGTTCTTCCCTTACCCGTTGATGAACCCCTGGCGGGGGTGGCGCAGCCCTGCAGAAACCTTCGGCAGGGGGTCGCAGCCCTGCTTGCATGGGGGTCAAAGCCTTGCAAACTGGCACCCCTCGACACAAGCATGAGCACGGTGCGCTTGTGGTGGCCAGCGTTCGACCGGCGCGATGGCTCGAATCCTCGGGGCGCGTGCTTGTTGATCGTTAGGTCGTTTCATCATTGCTGTCTCTCCCTCCTCTTTTCTCCCTGCTGTCCGCGTCGTCTCGCGTCGGGGGGGCGGCGGCGCTTTCGGCGCCCCTTCCCCCGCCCGGGGCAGGTGAGCCCTGAGGGCCCCAGTTGTCGACCTCGCTGCGTCTACGGTGTTCCTGCTAATCGGCCCGTGCTTGTGGCGCATGTCATTTCTCCATAGGAACGCGCCCCGTCGCGGGTGCGCGTCGACATGTTTTTTTCTCTCGAGAGTTCTCGCAGTCTTGCCATCTGTTTCGGTCGTTGTCGCCAGGTGCACACCCAGTTCTTCGCCCGCAAGTTGGCGCCGACAATCCCCCTTCTCACAAGTGCACATCGTGGCGTTTCTCTACGACCGCCTCGTCGTGCTTGTTTCTCAGTGAAATTGCTCCTTTGCTTCGAGCTTCCAGGTCTTGTCGGTGCTCCGACTGTGGGCGCCCTCTGGGCCGTTGAGTCTTCAGGGCGCCTGTCGTCGAGTCTTGATTTTCTGCGCACTTCGGCCGCGCGTGTCCGCGCGTCGCAAGGGGGGGGGAGAGCGCGCGACGGCGTGGGCCTGGCCAGTGGCAACGCCTGCGTAGCTCTAATTGTCACCTTGCTGTGCGCTGCCCTTGAGGCGCGCGCGTCTCTGGGGGGGCCCCCGACTCATGGTGAAGGCGCTGTCCCCCAGGGGGCGGGCATGTGCGGATCGGCTTTCTGGCGCGATCATACCTCTCTCAGTCAAGGGCAGCCAGACGGCCCGGGCCTGGCGCCAGAGCGGGGCTGCTTTCGGGCGGCGGCGGAGCTGCGCGGACCTCCGGAATTCCCTGCGTTTGTTCCAGCTGCCAGTGCGCATTCTCCAGTCTCAGTAAGCTCGGAAGGCTATCAGCCATGCGAGAAGCTCTTTGAGGCTTTTCCGAAGCCCCGGCGCCTTACGAGAAGGCCTGCCCCCTCCCGCTCCTCCCTCGGTCGGCGCGCCGACGAGGCGTGGCTCTCGGGTTGGCGTGGCCTCCCGCCCCAGCGGCCCTGGGGTTCGCAGTCAGCCGCCCGGGCCCAGCTCGGCACGGCCAGGGTCGGCGCGCGGCCTCCCGCCCCGGCTGGCTCCGGGGGCCGCGGTCGGTCGTTTGCGCTTCGGTCGGCGCGGCGGCTCGCGCCCAGGATGCGCGGGGGGTCTCGGGGGCCGTCGGGGGGCGCGAGGCGGTCCGGCGTTGGCTCTGGCCAGCAAGGGGGGCGGGGTGGGGGAGGGCGCGCGCGAGGGGGGGGGGGGCGCGGGCGAGGTTCGAGGTTTTGGGTTCGGCGAGGGGCGTTCGTTGCCTTCTTCGGCCTCCGGGAGCAGTCTGTTCTAGCCCCGGGATTTCACAGAAAGAAGCCGGAGCGGACGTTTGCACCCGACGGAGCCTGGGAGGGGTCCGGGGATCGATTTGGAACAGAGCTGCCCTCGGCCCCCCTTCCCAGTTGACGTTCGGGACCCCGACCAGTTCAGAACCCCCCGCCGCTTCCGACGCGGGTGGGTTTCACGCGCGCGCGCCTTATCGATGCCTTGAAGTCAGGGTCGCGCGGGGCTCTAGCAGGGGGCCGCATGCGAACCATACCCCTGCCCCCACGATTTTTTTTCAGAACGGGAAAGTGGGGTCCACTTCGCTCGGGGCGATTTCTGAGGGAGGGGTGGGATTCACTTTGCTCGGGAGCTCCTAAACGAAGTGAACCCCACCCTCCCCTTCAGAAGTCGTGGGGGTAGGGATAAATAGGGTTCGCATGCGGCCCCCTATCTAATCGGCGGCGAGCGAGGGGGGAAGTGGAAATGGGTGGGCTTCTCGGAAGGCTCGGGAGCCCCCCGGCGTTCTGCGAAGTTCTATAGGTTGTCCTTGCCCCTTGCCGCCGCGGGGAACCTTTTTTTTTCTCAGAAGGCGCGAGGACTTCTGTGAGGTTGCGCCGCTAGCTGAGAAAGCCTTTTCCCCCTTACTTCCCCCCTCCTTCGCCGCCGATCCAGAGGGGAACTCGATTGTCTGTTGGTTGTTCGGGCCGCTGCTTGCACCCCGGCCGCCCCATCCGTGGCCGCGGCTCGCGGCAGCCGAGAAGTCGCCCCCGTTCCTTTTTCGGCGCGGCTTCCGGTCGCGAGTCGGCTGCGCAGCCGGGCCGAGGTGGAGGGTCGAGGTCGGCTCGGGGAGGGCGCGCGAATGTTGTTCGCATTTGTTGCATGACCTCGTGCGTCATGAGGGAGGGCACCGGCGAATGATCCTCGGGTGTGGGGTAGTTTGGCCGGCGGGGGATCTCATACTACGTTAGAAGGATGTGATTTTGGCCTGGGTCCGATTGTGCTCAGGATGCGTGGGTGGGTTCCGCATCCGCACATCGAATCTCCCCGCTCAGCGATGCAGACACGTCGGGCTTCGCACATGGGGCCTTACACATATGGTCCCACACAGGTTTCAATGTACACTGTAACACGAACTTCCTGCTCGAGGTGCCCGACGCGTTGGCATAGTTAATGTTGTTTCATTCTCCGAATTCAGAGTAAGTGTGTTCCCGTAGTAGCGTGCCCCCTCGTGGCCGCTTGTATTTCTTCATCCTTCCTTCGCTCACGCTGGCCCTCCTTGATTTCACACGTACCAGCGCTCACGTCGCCGGGCCCTCGTACACGTTTCAGGCTTTTCATATGCATAGTCGTGGTTGATTCCTGAGTATGCATATGGTCTCTGCTTGAGATGCGAGCCCTACTGCAACCGAATGCGGGCAGGCGGTCGTTGTCGCTGGGGGGGGGGGGCGCAGCTACTGTCAGTTTTAATGCTTACAAGACTAAGATTCCGTACAGGATATGCCTGGACGTTGTTTTGGCTTGGCCTGGATGCCATATACGCTGGCCGCGGGCCGAGGATTGGCCTGGTCAGGATCGGTGCAGGTGTATGGCTGGCGTCCTCCTGCGTCGTCATCGTCATTGCCCGCGTCACCGTCGTTACCACGATCATCGCCGAGATCGTCGCCGTCGTCCTACCATACAGAATCCGCTCAATCTCGGTCCCCAGACCCCATCCACGGGCCCTTTCTTCCCAGTTTTCGAGCCGCGTCCCGCCGCGGCCACGAGAACCCCGAGAAGTGCCCCAAAGACCTCCAGAACAACGACCACAACGCTGTCGTCGTTTCCATCTTCGCCACCGTTGCTGTCGTCGCCATAGCCACCGATCCTCAGAATGACGAAGAAAACGACGGCGTTGACGTCGTTATCGCCGTCGCCTTCGCCGCCTTCGCCGTCCCTGGCGGAGGAGGGGGAGGAGGGGTGGCCGTGGCGGCAGAGGCGGGGTGTAATGGTGGAGGTGGAGGAGGGAGAAAAAGAGAATGGGGAGGAGGAGGACGAGGAGGAGGAGGAGGAGGAGGACGAAGAGGAGGAGGAGAAGGAGGACGAAGAGGAAGACGAAGAGGAGGAGGAACCGGAGCAGGAGCAGGAGCAGGAAGTGCTCGCAGGGTGTGCTCGCCCCTGCTGCGCCCGTTCGACTTCGCGGGCCTGACCCGCCCGCGGCTGGCAGGTCTGCCGCGGAGCTCAGCGCGGGTGGCGGAAGTGGCAGCAGCGCCACCCGCTGCTGGCTCCACTCGTGGCTGAGCTCGCGGGACTCATGCCGGGGCGGTTGCCTCGGGGGCCGCCTCCAAAAGAAGGGAGGGGGAGAGAGCAGGAGCAGGAAGTGGAAGAGCAGGAGGGGCGGAGGGCGAGAGGGCGGGGGAGGGGGGGGGGAGGAGGAGGCGGGGGAGGCGGCGGGGGAGGAGGCGGGGGGAGGGGCGAAGAGGAGCCCCGTGGTCGCGCGTCGCCCCCTCCTGCGGGGGGGGGAGCGCCGCGACAGGTGGCCCGCGCCCACCTGGAAGCGCTGCTGCCCGCGCTGGCCGCGGCGCCCGGCGGCGCCCCCGAGGCCCAACGACCACGACGACGACGACGACGACGACGACGACGACGACGAGGACGAGGACGACGACGACGACGACGAGGACGACGACGACGACGACGACGACGACGACGAGGACGACGACGACGACGAGGACGACGACGACGACGACGACGACGACGACGACGACGACGACGACGACGACGACGACGACGACGAAACCGACGACGAAACCGACGACGACAACGACGGCGGCGGCGGCGACGGCGGCTGCGGCGGCGGCGAGGCGGCCGCCGCGGGCGCAGATCCATCTGCACACCATTCTGGCCACCAACGGATCAGAGGAGGGCGAGGTTCGTCGACGCTCGAGGTGTACCGCCATTTCCTGACGTTTTCGTCGGTTCCTGGCGGTTTCCGAGCCTCGGGGCGCTCTCAAGCAGCTGCGCCTCGCCGGGAGGCGTGCAGGAGTGCCGGAGCGTCCCGCTCAGCCGCTGGGGGCCCCAGTTGTGACCCGAAAGCCACCAGGCGCCATAAGCCCTCATGGTTTTGGGACCCCCCAGAGCTGAGACAGTGGTAACTGGACTTCGTCGCCACGGATGGGCGCAGCTCGGAGAATTGGTCCGGCGTGACCCCGGGAGGGGTCCAGGACCGATGTCTTGCGTTGCCGTTGTCAGATTTCGCCTTGTCCGAGTAGAGCGCCCCTGTGTCGAAGTGCCCTTTCCGCTGGACGTTCTGCACGAACCCGTCGGTTCCTGGAGGCTTTCTTTTTTCGGGATGTTCTCCAGCCGCTGCGCCTCGCCGACGGCATTCCACGGCCCGGATCGACGTAGAATTCTGGAGCGTGGCTTTTGGGGGGCGCGGGGGCCTCTCAGCCCAACCACGCCGGCTGCGCTACTGCCTCATCGCATGGAACGAGTCCGCAAGCCGCGCACCGAAGGACATTCTTGCCCACACTTTGGACTGCAGCCGAGTCATGTTTCCCCCGCTTGTCGTTGTTCGTCGCTACCGCCGTCGTACTCGAAGGTCGAGGCCCGAGTATGCAGGCTTTCGATCAGCTTCCGCCCTTCTTCTGTGCCTCGAGGTGAGCTCCTCGGCACCACGGCTCGATCCGCCCCGGAATCCGGGCATGAGCGAACCCTGGGAAAGCCCCAGGCCGCCGATTTGTCGCGCCGCCGTGCAAGAAACGGGACGCTGGAGGAAACGAGTCCTGGAGCCGCCGCCGCCGGAGACGGCTCGAGTGGAGAGGGTGCCCCCTTGCCCCCGACGACGGCCGCACCACGGCGAAGGCGACGACAGAGATCGCGAGCACGTCCATGATGACGACAGCGGCTACGGCGGTGGCAAAGACGGCGGCGGCGGCGGCGGCGGCGGCGGTGACGGCGGCGGCGGCGACGGGGACGGCGGCGGCGGCGGCGCGGACGACGGCGGCGCGGGCGACGGCGGCGCCGGCGCCGGCGACGGCGGCAACGGCGGCGGCGACGGCGGCGGCGGTGACGGCGCGAGAAGACAGCAACGCCGGCGCCCCCAGCGCGCGGAGCTGCTGGCGCGGCTAGCGTGCGGCTTCGTTGTCGCGGCGCAGCAGACGGAGGCGGGGCGCCCCGGCACGGAGGGGTCGAGCTTGCGGTCGGGTGTGGGTAGCGGCGTGGGCCTTCCAGATATACAGAGAGAAGGTGTTGTTGTTCACCTTCTGGGCCATAACGCGCGTTATGCCCCCCCCCTCTCCTTCTCCTCCTCCTCCTCCTCCTCCTCCTCCTCCTCCTCCTCCTCCTCCTCCTCCTCTCGTCCTCCTCTTCTTCCTCCTCCTCCTCCTCCTCCTCCTCCTCCTCCTCCATAACGCAACGCTGCCCCCCCTCAGTGCGTCCCCGGCACTGCCGCAGTGCGTCTGGCCCCCCCCGCCCCCCCCTCCCCCCATCACGCCCTCTGGGGCCGCAAATAATAGAATGCGCTCGTACGGTCGGAGTAGGTTTAAGTCGGGCACGTCCCTCTACAGGAGGAACATCCCAAAGTGGTCAAACAATAGTCGGGATCATTTGTGAGTAAGGTCGAGCTTTTTGTTGACCGTGTTTCGAGTGGTGTTTTTGGTTTTTCGTCCAAGATCCGCCTGTCGGGGGACATGCCCGACCTAGGAGCAGATGGGGTCGAAGGGTCGCGCCGAGTCGACGATGCGTCGCAGATGCATCGCCGAGGCGGCGCCCTGCGGAGCCCGACTTCCTCCACGCCGACGGCGCCGACGTATCTCAGGAGGGAACAGAAACACACAGACTCAATTAATCGTGGACTCCCAGGAAAATAGGCAAACATATGGGAAGTGGGGGGGAGGAGACAAAAAAACCCAAAATATGGAAACATCTGGGGGATATGCTTATTCGTGTGAATTTATTTGTGTGTCCCAGGGCCCCTTCATTATCGCCGACGTTGACGAGGCCTCGGCGCTGCATTTTGCGATGCGGCGCGAACCTCCGACCCCATCTGCTCCCCATGTGCGAGGCTTCCACAGGGCCAGGGGGGGGGGAGGGGGGGGGCCTCGACCCCCCACCGCCCACTCATCGCAGATGGGATTAAGTCGGGCCTGTCCCTCTACAGGAGGAGTACCCCCAAAATAGTCAAACAATAGTCTGGGGACGATGTTTTCATTACTTTTAAATCATTTTTCCCCAAGCAGAGCTTGCCTCTGTATGGGGTCCTAGCGGATTCATATGGTTAGGTGAGGTGGGGCGCCGATTTGGTGCCCGGGTGCCGGGTGCCCTGGTGCCCGTGGGTGCCCGGTGCAGGATTTCGGTGGTTGGTGGCCGGTGGTCCGGGTGCCCGGGTGTGGGTGCCCAGGGCTGCTGTGGTGTGGGTACCCTGTAGCCATATAGCCCTATAGCTTCAGAGTTCAACAGCCCAGTAGCCAAATAGCCCAATAGCGGAACAGCCCATATAGCCCATATAGTCTTATAGCCCAATAGCCCTATATTAGCTGTATAGCCCTGTAGCCCTATAGACCCATAGGCCTATGGCCCTATAGCCCTAGAGTTCTAGAGCCCTACAGCTAGAGAGCCCTATAGCCATATAGCCCTATAGCTCTATATATATAGCCCTATAGCCCTATAGTCCCTATAGCCAAATAGCCCTATAGCACTATACCTCTATAGCCAAATAGCCCATATAGCCCTATAGGCCCATAGCCCTATAGCCCTATAGTCCTGTAGCCCCATAGCCCCAACACAAATCTGATTGGGGTTATTCTCCGGTATCATGGATTATGTTGTTTACTGTTTGTTTTATGTTACGTCCAAAATCCCCCTGTAGGAGGACATGCCCGACCTCAGTCCAGGGGGGACGTGCTCGAGGGGGGTGGCCTCGTCCCCCCACCGCCCACTCTTCGCCGATAGGAGCCCGGTGGCCCACCACGCCCAGAAGCGCACGGACTCATCTGCCGGGGGCCTATCGCAAATCTATCGGGAGTGCATCGCCGATTCCCCTCCCGAGCGGGTCCTGGGCAGCCCGCGATTGCGCAAAGATCAGGCGATCGCAAACATGGATCAAGTGGTCGTGGATTAGCGACGGCTCCCGTTTGAATGGGAAATCGCGGATTTCTGCCGCCGAGCGAGGCGGCCATGGCTGCATTTTGGGGAGGGCACCTCCCCCGATCCATGGATTTGGCGACCGCGCGCCAAATCCATGGGTCGCTAATCCGTGTTTGCGCGGCCCCGAAAAACGCCAGGTCTGGGCCAGAGCGGCTGCACTGCGGTCTGGTTATCCGCTTCGCGCGTCTCGGTCTGGGCCAGAGCGGTTGCCTTCCGGTGGCGACCGCAGCGCGGGCGTTCAAGACTGAACGCTGCTGGTGCCTGGGATTGGCCAGCGCCGCGATCGTTCACAGTTGAGCGATCAGCTCGGTGTCTGACATTGAACGCCGACACAGTCACCACACGAATTTGGCTCAAGGGGGAGGGGGAGGGGACGGAGGAGGAGGAGAAAGAGGAGGAGGAGGAGTTGGAGGAGGAGGAGGAAGAGGAGGAGGAGCAGAAGGAGGAGGAGCAGAAGGAGGAGGAGGAGTTGGAGGGAGAGAGAGGAGAGGAGGAGGAGAGAGGAGGAGGATAGGAAGGAGGAGGAGGAGGAGGAGGAGGAGGAGGAGGTTGAGGAGGAGGAGGAGGAGGAGGAGGAGGAGGAGGAGGAGAGGGGAAGAGGGAGGGGGAATGAACATGAGACTGAGACTTCCTGCCGGTCCAGGTTTGCAAGCGGGCCAGCGGGCCACCCGCGGATCTCCACGGCTCTGCCCTCCAGCCCGCCTGGGCCGGCGGAGGGGGCCCGGCTCCCGAGCCGAGGCCAGCCGTCGCGACGCCGCGGCGCCTGGCCGACCACGGCACCAGGCCGAGAGACGCTGGAGGCCCGCTCGGGAACCCGCGCGGGAGGCGGCCTCGCGACGGCGAGCCCCGGCCTCGCCCTCCTTCGCGCCCGCAGGCGAGCACGCGCCGCCGCGGCGGGGCACGGCGGCCGTCGCCTGCCAACCGCGGGCTGCCGAGCCCTGGGCCGTGGGTGGCAGCAGCGCCGCCCACGACCGGCGGGTCCAGCGCCGTGCGCCAGCTGGCCCGCCTCTGCCGCGCTCGGGCCCCAGGCCTCGTCCAGTCGCGCGTTCTGCTGGCGCGGGTGCGGATGGAGCCCTGGCTTCCGTCGGCGTCGGGCTTCCGCCCGTGCCAGGCCCCCCCCCTGGCCCGAGCGCTCCTCCGGGAGGTTTCCCCAGCCGTGCTTCTGAGGCTGCACGTTGGCACCGCAGCTCATGCAGAAGAACACGTCTGGCTGCCCTGGGCACGCCGCCGCCACAATGTTGTGGCCTCGCATGTTCCACGGGGTAACCTCGGCGTCCTCACCCACCTCGCAACATCCCTCCGCTGGCACCTCGCCCTCACTGTCGTCCGCCTTGTCCTGTCCTGGCGGAGTGGCCGATGACCGCCCTCCCGGACGGAGGTAATTAGGGGGAGGAGGAGGAGGAAGAGGAGGAGGAGGAGGAGGAGGAGGAGGAGGAGGAGGAGAGAAGAGGAGGTCGTGCCTCATCTATCGCGTCTCACGTCCTCTTCGTGTCTGGAGCAGGGGACTGGCCTTGAAAGGGTTCTCACGCCCCTTCTCGGGTGCCATCTGCAGCAAGTTTTGGAAGGGAGGGTCGAGGTTGGATGTCTGCTGGCGTTTTGAGGGCCTGTTGGTGTTCGCGCTCGTGGCCACGCCTGGATTCCTTCCCTCGGAGCTGTGGTCAAACACTCGTCCCTGCAAACGCCCAGGGAAAGCCGCCCCGGTAGGTGGGAGTTCGTTGGCTTTCGAAGGGGTGGTGGTGGTGGTCACTGCATAAGGGAAACAGCATCCCGAGCAGAGCAACACGCACCACGACCACGACGACGCCGACGCCGACGACGACGACGGAGACGAGGCGCGCAAACGATCCGCACCGAAGCACGGATTTGGGAAAGGGCCCACCCTGCAGGTTCGGTTGAACAGCACATCGTTGAGCGGTGCTGCAGCCTCCCCTGAGCACAGGCCCCCCCAGAGCATCAGCCAGACAAGTCGGGTTTGCACCCTCATGCCTTGCTGGACTCTGGGCGCGTTTCGGCACCCTCTCCCCCAACCTCGTCAGGGCCACCGACAAGGGAGAGGGCGGCGGTGGCCGACGCGTCCCCGAGCTAACAAGCTCAAAGCGCCGCGGCTCAGAGAACCGGGAAGACAGACAGACAGACAGACGGACGGACAGCCAGGCGGCGTGCAATGCCTGGCAAGCCAAGTGGGTGGTCACTGCATAAGGGAAACAGCATCCCGGAGGAGGAGGAGGAGGAGGAGGAGGAGGAAGAGGAAGAGAGGAGGAGATGGAGGAGGAGGAGGTGGAAGAGGAAGAGAGGAGGAGGAGGAGGAGGAGGAGGGAGGAGGAGGAGGAGGAGGAGGAGGAGAGGAGGAGGAGGAGGAGGAGGAGGAGGAGGAGGAGGAGGAGGAGGAGAGGAGGGAGGAGGAGGAGGGAGGAGGAGGAGGAGGAGAGAGAGAGGAAGAGGAAGAGGAAGAGGAAGAGGAAGAGGAAGAGAGAGAGGAGGAGGAGAAGGAGGAGGAGGAGGAGGAGGCTCGAGGAGGAGGACGAGGAGGAGGAGGAGGAGGAGGAGGAGAAGGCTCGAGGATGAGAGTTTCAGGCTCAGGAGGCCCGTGCCGGTCCATGGGGCCGTCTGAAATCGACACCTTGGGTAGCAGCAGCTGGCTGGGCGGGCCCTCTGGACGGGTCCGAGGCCAACGGCGGAGGGGGCTCTGCACTCGGGAGGAAGAGGCAGGAGGAGGAGGAAGAGGCGGAGGAGGAGGAGGAGGAGGGAGGAGGAGGAGGAGGAGGAGGAGGAGGACGAGGGGGAGCAGGAAAAGGAGGAGGATGAGGAGGAGGAGGAGGAGGAGGAGGAGGAGGAGGAGGAGGAGGAGAAGAGGGGAGGAGGAGGAGGAGGAGGAGGGAGGAGAGGAGGAGGAGGAGGAGGAGGAGGAGGGGGAGCAGGAAATGGAGGAGGAGGAGGAGGAGGGGTGCAGGCGGGAGGGGGAAGGATCACTGAGCGCAGTGCAGAGTCCTAGCCCTGATCGCACAGTGAGCTCGTGGCCGATCTGAGGCCCCCTGTTTGGGGGGGCTGCCCCCAACACGGATGGGTGGTTTCGTCTGACATGTTTGCACAACGGTCCCTTGTTCTCCCGAACGCTTGTGGTCCTCCTCAGGTAGGTCGCCTCAAAAAGGATTAGAGGAACTCGTATTGCTCATCGAAGGGGAAGCACGATGAGGAGGCCCCTTACGACCTCGCGTCGTCAAAAGGACAGGAGGAGGATGTATGCCCGCGTCCCAGAAACGGCCAGTCGAACCTGCCCGCCCCAGCCCGCCCGCGCGCACGCGCGAGCACGAGGGACCTGCGCCTCCAGCGGTGAACCAAGGTCCCCCGACCACGGGGGTCCTGCGCCTCCAGCGGCGTGTTCAGGACCCCCGACCGTGAGGCCGATCACGACCTCCGCCGGCAGCTCCGCGATGAGGCCCCGCCTCGGAGCAGGGCGGCCAAGCGCGCCGCCGCCGTGCCGCCGACGCCGCAGGCCTGGCGCCAGGCCTCGACGTCCGCGGCCGTGGCGACGGCGAGGAGGGCGGCGATCGGGTCGTCGAGCCCGCCTCCAGCAGCAGCGCCTCCCTCTCCTTGAGCAGGCATCGCAGCCGCCGCGCCCGCCACACCAGCGCCAGTGCGCCCAGCAGCGCCTCCCGCTCCCCGAGCAGGAGCCGCGGCCTCCGCAACCACCTCACCAGCCATGGTGTCGGTGCGCCGTAGCCGCCTCCGCGCCGCGCGTGAAGGCGGCACGTCGGCCCAGGAGTCGTCCTCGAGGTCCACCTCCATGGGCTCGGGTCCAGCAGCAGCCAGCGCGACCAGCGGCAGGCCCGCGGCCGAAGCCGCAGGCGCACCTCTGCCGTCCGCTGGAGCAGCGCCAACCCCCCATGGCGCCGAGAATCTGCAATGCCTGTTGTGCCCTGGACGACCGTCACGGATAGCGGCCGCGGTGAGAGACCACCCCCTGCGCACCCCCGACGGTGCCGAGAATTTGCCATGCCTGCTGTGCCCTTGGCGACCGTCACGGATAGCGGTCGCGGTGAGAGATCACCCCCTGCGCACCCCTGATGGTGTCGAGGATATGCCATGCCTGCTGTGCCCTGGACGACCGTCGCGGATGGCGGCCGCGGTGAGAGAGATTTTTCCTTGCGCACCCCCGAATGTGTCTAGAACCTGCCGTTCTCGCTGTGCCTGAACGATTGGGGCGTATAGACACCGCGGTGAGTGACCACCCCTTGCGCACTCCCTATGGTGTCGAGAATGTGCCACGCCTGCTATGCCTGGACGACCGGGGCGTGCTGTGCATGTGTCGTGCTGCGCTGTGTTGCGCTGTGCTGTGCCGAACTGTGCTTTGCTATCCTGTGCTGTGCTGCGGTTTGTAGTGCTGTGCTGTGCTGTGCCGTGTGAGAAGGAAAAGAAGGAGGGGAGGGGTGAGGAGACGCGGGTGCGCCGCGGGAAGGAAGAAAACCATTATTCTACGAAGCATGTGGGGACATAGCTGCCTGAGCACGGTGAGGCGGAGGGGATCTGCCCCCCGCGTTGGACATCCTTCGGGGGAGGGGGGGGCACGTCGCCACGATGCTCCTCGCAGGCCCAGCCCGAGCGCGGCCCCAGCCAGGCCTAGGGGCGCAGAGGCTGATCTTGAGGAGGGGAAGGGAAGGGAAGGAAAGAAAAAAGGAAGGAAGGAAGGCAGGTGAAAGAAAGGCGGTGGCATCGCGATCCAGGCCTATTCCTCCTTCCCGGGATGATTTCGAGCCTCTTCCTTGGTTCTTGAAGCTCTCGCTTCCGGCCTGAGTTGTGGCCCCCGAAGGGCTTTGGTTTTTGGCTGCCGAGGGCCGGGCAGGGCCCGGAAGCCAGCGTTCCAACGACGCGAAGAACTCGAGGCGGCAGGTCTCCACATTCTCTGCTTTCCGGGACTTTCACCGGTCCCATGACTGTCAAGGACCGATCGGGGGCCCCAAACGGGGTGGTCACCACACCGTGTGGTGAGTCGGTGGGGATTCGGTGTCGCCGCACGGTTCTGGGTCTCGGGTCGTTCTCCGAGGATGCCCCGGGCGATTGGAGCTTCCAGGGTCCCAAAGCCGTGCGCTGACGGACCGTGCGGTGAGGTCTTGGGGGATTTCGAGGTCACCGCCTGGACTGTCACCGCACCGCTTCGGGAACACAGAAACGATTCGGGACGAACAGGTTGCCTTGTGGAAAGGACCCCGTGCTGCCCATCGGATTTGTGGTGAGCGGGAGGGGCCCAGCTCGCACTCATCGCAACCAAGAGTCTCTCTTCCTCCTCCTCCTCCTCATCCTCATTCTCCTCCTCCTCCTCCTCCTCATCCTCATCCTCATCCTCATCCTCCTCCTCCTCATGGCGATTTCCGAGAACGAAGGCCACTACCTTCTTGCTTTCCTGTGGACGCATCAGCGCGTGGCGCGGGGCCACTCGGGCTCCTCCTCCTCCTCCTCCTCCTCCTCCTCCTCCTCCTCCCCCCATCCTCCTGCTGCAGGTGTTTCTCCACCGCCCTGCCTTGTTCTCCTGGCCCTCCCCTCCTGCCCTCTCCCCCAGGTGGGGTCCGAGCAGATGGGGTCGGTGAATCGCGCCACGAGGCGGCTCGATGTGGAGCCCAATGTTCTCCGGGCCCGCGGCGCCGATGCATCGCCGACGTCGCCGATGCCTCGGCGATGCGTCGGCAATGCGGCGCGGTCCACCGACCCCATCTGCGCGGACCCCATTCGGGAGGGCCCCTGCTCTCGCTCCGTCCTCTCCGCCTCGCCCGCCCCCACGCGCGGCGGCCCTCGTGGAGGGCGCGGGGGGCTCGATCACGCTGACGTCTGCGCGACTGTCGACCTCCGACGTGCAGGGCAAGGCGTGCCGATCGCGTGACCAGCAGCATCCGAGTGCAACGCTGACGTTGCGGACGCCCCGTGGCGACCAGGAAGGTCGAGCGTGCACCGCCGAAGCCGCCGGCGACGTCTTCGCTGACGGCGCCAGTCCGCCACCAGCAATTTCAAGGAGCGCGAATGCCCAGCTCGCTGGTGCTGAAGAGGAATACGACCAAACGCTTCCGAATTACTCTCCGTTCCGTCCTCATCTCTTTCTTCCTCCCCTCCAAATCCCTCTCTTCACTCCCCTTAGGATGCCACTCCTAGGAGGCGACGTTCAGCATCGGCTCTACGTGGTCTAAAACCGTGCTCATCCGACCAAATCCCGTTTCGATTGGCTGAATGTTCGGTTTTTTGTGGTCAAATCCGGCTTCGTGGCACCTTGGTCTGGATGCTTGCAGACCACGCAGATGTTTTTGCGAAGGCCTGACATGAGTTGCCTCTGAACCGTCCCCTTCTCTCCGCCCCTGTTTCTCTTCCTCCCCCCATTATCCGTCCTGCGCCTGCTGCCTCCTGCTCCCCGTGCCCCTCCCTGCGCCAGCCCCCTCCAGCCCTCCCAAACCTCATCCAGCCTCTCTCCCTCTCTCTCCTCCACCTCCCTCCTCGCCCTCCTTTCTCCTCCTGCTCCTCTCTCGTCCTCCTCTGCCCTCTCCTTCCTCCTCCCTCCCTCCTCGTCCCTCCTCGTCTCGTTCTCTCCCCCCGTCGTCGCCCCCGTCGCCATCCGCCCGCAGTCGCCGCCTCCCCGCGCGTTCGTGGGCAGCCTGTTCTGCGCGCTGCGCGACATGGCGCTGGATCCTGCCAGCTCGCCGGAGGCCCGGCCATGCCGGGCGAGGGGTGAGGGGGTCGGGGCCGGGGACGGGGAGGGGGAGGAGAGATGACAGGGAGGAGGAAGAGAGGAAGGAGGATGAGGGGACGACGACGAGCATGGTTGAGAAGAGCAGGTGGGAGGAGGCGGAGGAGGGGAAGAGGAGGAGGAGGATGAGGAGGAGACGGAGGAGGAGGAGGAGGAGAGAGAGGGAGGCGAAAGGGTGAGGGGGGAGGGGGGATGAGGAGCAGGAGGAAGGTGAGGAGGATGGACCAGGGTGGAGAAGCAGGGGGAGGAGGAGGGGGTAGTAGCGAAAAGAGGAGTAAGGGGAGGTCGAGGAGGGGGGCGGGTAGGAGGGGGGTGGGTAGGAGGGGTAGGGGGAGCAGGGGCATGAGGAGGACGAGGAGGAGTAGGATGAGGACCTGCTTCCAATTCGTCCTCGCCGTCCTCCTCGTCCTCCTCCTCCTCCTCGTGCCGCTCAATCTGCTCCCAGGCACTCCTCTCAGCGAAAGGTCCCGTCGTGACCTTCACGGTGATCTATCGGTGGCCTCAGGCCTCCGCAGGGACAGGCAGCTCCGGCTTCTCGAGCGACCGCATGCCATTTGCGCCCACGACTGCCGTCATTCCGAGGCGTCGCGCGCAAGGAGGTCGCACGAGGTGTGGGAATTCTAAGAAGGCGCGGTGCTTCCCAGAAGGGGGGACCTTCTTCGAAGGGCCTGGAGGCTCCCAACAAGGCTTTCCGAGAAGCCGGGATGGCTTCGAGACACCCCGTGCCCTTTATCGGGGGCGGCCAAAGGGGAGGCGATGAGTGGGGCGGGATATCATGGCCAGGGCCATGACATCTGAAGATTTCCTAAGAATTGTAAAACAAGTCCAGATACGATTGCCCATTCTCCTTTGCGTATGTGTGGTCATGTTTGACCAACTCTTATATTCTTCCAGAATCCGTATGTAGGAGGGCATGCCCGACCTAATTGTGTACGGAGCGCCCTCTGCGTGAACTTGAAAAAAGTGGCGAGGGGGAGAGGTTCGAATGCCCTGTCCCGCCAGCGTGGGGGCGCCGGGACCCCCGCTTCCATCCTTCCCTCCCTTCCCCCCTTTGCCCAGCCTTGCCCACACCCCTCTCCTGCTCATCCCCTCTTAGCTGCCCCATCGAACTCCTCGCCCACCCCTCCTGCCTCGAGGTGCGAAAGAAAAAGAACACCCGAGCGTTCAGCAGACAGTCCTGGGCCCTTACTCGACAGTACTGCCCTAAGCGAGTCCGTCCTTCGCTTGTAGGAGTGCTTCGCTTGTATGTGTGCTCTATGCGAGGGGAGTTCTTCAGCCCTCTTCGCTCTTCTCTTCCTTGTTTGTTTCCTCCTCTTCCTTCTCCTCCTCACCGTTCCCTCCTCAGCTTCCATTCACGCGTTCTCGTTTTGGTAGTTCTCCCCCTCCTCGATGTCAGTGTTCCCCTACCCCCCCCCCCCTGTTCCTTCAACAGCGGCGCGAACAAAAGGCTGGAGCGAGAGAGACGGCCCTCTAAGAAAGGGGGACCTTCTACTCGAGTGGGAGGGCTTCTAAGATCGTTTCGGCATTCTGGGAACGCCACCCTCATCCGACTTTCCTCTTTTCCTCCAGCCTCTTAGCTCCTCGGCTCCTCCGACCGGCCCTCGCCTTCCTTCTCCTTCGCCGCCCCTCCTCCTGTTCCTTCCTCGCTCCACCCCTCGGCCCTCGCTTGCACGATCTGTCAGCATTCCCAGCCTGGCCCTCCCGCCAATCTGTGCAATTCTCTAGCATGATTGTATATGTATCCTGTCCTCCCCCTCTCTCTCTCTCTCTTTCTTTCTTTCTTTTTTTCTCTCTCTCTCTCTCTCTTTATTTCTCTCTCTTTATTATATATGGCTGTGTGTGTTAGCCAGCGTGGACCCCAACAGTGTGTCTCTAGCAATCTGTATGGTGTATAGTGAATTCTACATGGAGCAATAATGTGGTGCAAGATATGTGTTGCAATCCAAGTTGTGCAATGCATGTCCCGTCTACGCTGTGCTGTCCATGTTGAGCAACATATATTGTGCAATATATGTGGTGCAGGTGTTGTGCAGTCTAGAAGGAGGAATCTATGTGTATGCATATATATATATATGTATATATATATATATATATTGCACAGTCTATGTGTAGCAATCGATGTGGTGCAACCTATGTTGTAGTATTTGTGTAATCTGGGTTGTGCCATCTATTCGTTGCAACCTTCGTGGTGCAGTCAATGTTGTGCAACGGAGCGGCAGCGCCGCGACGGGGCGGCGACGGCGACAGCAAAGCCGCCGGGCTGCCAGCCAGGCCCCTCCGACGGGCGGCGACGGGGCGGCGACGGCGACATTCTAGCCGCCAGACAGGCCCAGACAGGCCCAGGCGACGGGCGGCGACGAGGCGGCGACGCGGCGGCGACGGCGACAGTACAGCCGCCAGGCAGGCCCGGGCTTCGGTCGGCGACGGGGCGGCGACGGCGACAGCATGGCATCTAGACCGCGAGGCAGGCCCAGTTCTTTAGAGGAGAACTACGATCCCCTAAGTGCAAGCACTGCTTGGGGGAATCTACTAATATATGCGTGTATATATATACACATACACATTACATCACTGAGATATGCGCAATACTTATTATGTATTTCGTGCCCGTGTGCTATGTACCCGTGTTTGTTTCGGCACATTTCCATATGCGCAATACCGCTATGCATAGATACTATGCGTGATCAGGTGTTCGTGTTCTGTTGGGTTAGTCATACAGGTGTTCCGCATGCCGTGGGTAGGACATTGATTGTGCATTGCAGCCCTCTCTATATATGTAGATATACATAGATGTAGTCACACATGCATGTAGGTGTGTGTGTCCTCATACGTATACGTATACACGCTTGCATATATATATATATATACTTATATATAAATATATGTATGTGTGTGTGATGGTGTGGTGTGTTTGTTGAATTCGCTATTTCGTCTGGTGGTGGTGTTGTTGTTGTGTTTCTGTCTCCCTCCCTCTCCCCATCTGTCTCTCTGAGCCACGACCACGAGCACATAACGCTTTGGATAACTGTCCCTCTCTTTGGCTCACAGTCGCGAGCACGGGAATGTCGTTGGATACTATATATATTCATATACTTGTCTATATGAACATATATATATAGTTGTATGTATGTACATGTATGTGTGTATGTATATGTATATATGTGTATATGTGTCTATATAGATGTGTATATATGTATGTATGCATGTGGGGAGGGGGTCCCACGGGGCCCTGGGAGGACTGATTTTATACCCGGCCGTTCTGGGCCCGTCGGGGAGCACCACAACGCGCGTCCACGGAGAGGATACAGGAGCGACGAAAAGGCCCTCAATAGACATCAAACGAGAGCCCCAAGACGGCCCTGAAACGCTCCGAGAGAGCCCCAAACCTCCCGAGAGCGTTCCACGAGGGCGCCCTCGAGAGCGCGAAGTTATTCGCGCTTCGCGGTTCGGCTCCGATTCCTCCCCATCGTCTTTTTCCCCCCTGGGAGGCGGCGCCAGAGCGCGAAGTTAATCGCGCTTCGCGCAGCGCGACGCGCGAACTTGGGAGCCCCTGGTTCCAAGATGCCCCAACATGGCTTCAAGACAGCCCAAGAGGGCCTCAAGACGGTCAAGAGGTCTTCAGAAGGAGTCGCACGAGGCCCTCAGGAGGCGAAGCACGCTTTTTCATGCTTCCGACAGGTCAAGACAGCCCACGGGGCCCAAGAAATCGGCCCGAGACGTCCCAAGCGGAACCCAAAGAGGGCCCCAGGACGGCCCAAGAGAGTCCCAAGATGGCCCAAGGGCGCTCCAAGGCTGCCCCAAGAAGGCCCCAGAGGTCCCAAATGGCTTCGAGAAATCTCGAAGAGGGCCCCAAGAGCCTTCCAAGAGGGCCACAAGACGCCCCCAAAGGGACCCAGGACAGCCCGAGAGGGCGTGAAGTGTCTCAAAAACGCTCTTTTGAGGACACACAGGAATGCCCGGAAACGCTAAAAGAATAGATTTTCGTGTAAGTACATAAGTTCTAAACACCAAGGATCTTGAGTGCAGACGGTGGTGTGAGCTCAAGACGGCCCAAGGAGATTCGCGAGACACCGAAAAGAGGGAGTCAAGACGGCCAAATTGTTGCTCCAATTGCTATTTATGCTTCTGCCTCCTCCCCTCCCTCCCCATCCTCGTCCTGCACCTCCTCGGAAGAAAAAACGTCGCTTCGAGATGAGTCCAGACACGCGACGACGACGAGAGCCCCAAAAGACAAACAAATCTGACCTCGATCCTCGAGGCACGGGGCTCGCCTTCCTCGAACACATCGTGCGACACCCTCTTCCTTTCCCTCCTCGCCCTCCTTTTCCTACTTCATCCTCTCTCTCCTCGCATTCTCGTCCTCCTCCTCCTCATCCTCTTCTTCTTCACCCTCCTCATCCTCCTCTTCCTTCTCCTCTTCACTTTCTGCTCCTTCTCCTTCTCCCTCGCCTCCTCTTCAACCTCCTCCTCGACATCCCCGTCCTCCTTCTCCTCCTCCATGCCTCCTTCCCTCCCTCCATCCTTCCCTTCCTACTCCTCGGTGCACGGGCCCAGTCCTGACAGCTTCACTTTGGGCGCCCGGGGGGGCTGGTCGCCGGCTCCCGCTGGCCTGCATGGAACACGTCCACCGCGTCGGCAACGAAGATCAGTTGTCGCGTTGCATGCCGAGTAGAACACGTACACCGCGCCCGCAACAGTTCTTCTGCCACGTGGAATGCGCTTCCATTGGTCCGCCAACAGGGGACAAAGAGGGAAGGGAATGGGAGGGCTTGCCGAGAGGAGAATCTAGTGAAGGGCGATTGGGGTTCATCGCATCGCATCCGTGGAGACATGGAGGGAGGGTACCACCTGCTGACTGATCATGATCGGTCGAAGTCTTTGTGCACTCCGATACCGCAACGCTTCGGCCGTCGCCACACCGTTCGAGAGCCAAAGCGCGCGCAGCGTGCTCGCGTGGTTCCAGTTTACCAGGCCAGAGAAAATCCCCAATCAGTGGATGGTCTGAAAATTGATGATATTGAGATCGATTGTAGGATCGATAGTGGGATCGAAAGTGGGATCGATAGTAAGGACGATAGTATGGCCGATCGTGAGAGCGATAATGAAGTCGATTCAGTGAGATCGAGAGTGAGGAGAGTGAGATCGATCGTGAGATCGCTCGTGCGATCTATAGTTAGATCGATTGTGAGACCGATAGTCAGATCCATTGTGAGGTCGATCGTGAGATCGATAGAGAGGTGGAATAAGATCGATGGTGAGACCGATCGATAAGGAGAGACCAGGAACCCGGGAACCTGGAAACCTGGGAACCCCGCCGCCCAGCGAAATCGGCTCGGACCCCAGAACCAGGGAAGCAGGGAACCCGGAATCGGGAATTTGGGAACCTGGCGGCCCACCGAAATCGGCCACCAGCGTTCGCGACATTTCTCAAGATCCGCTATGACTCCTTCCAGTGTAATCACTGATTGGGGAATCCATATATATATATATACACATGTATATATATGTAGGTTTATTTACGAATATATACACATATATACACATGGAGAGAGAGTTTTCGTTGTTCTGCTCGTCTCTCTCGCTCTCTCTCTACATCTCTCCCCTTTTCTCTCTCATGAGTCAACAGAGAGAGATCGGGAGAGAGAGAGAGAGGAGAGAGAGAGAGAGAGGAAGAACGAGAGAGAGAGAGAGACACAAAAATAGAGAGTGAGAGAGAGGGAGGATCAGTCCGACAGAAAGAGAGAGAGAGAGAGAGACAGAGAGAAGGAAGATGGGGCCTGTTACCTCCAGGACCCGTTTCTTTCCTTGCGACTTGTGGGTCAGTGGTTGCCATGCGACCCAGGATTTCTCCAGGGGTGCGGTCTGACTAGAAGTTCGAGTGGAACCGAACCGCGGCGCGAGGCCGTCCTGAAACCGGGAGCCTCGGCCATCTAACACGATCGTCGTCCTTTCCTCCTCCTCTTCGCCGTCTGTCATCCCACCCACCTGTTCCCTTCCCCTGCCTCCCACCCCTCCACTCGACGGCCAGGTGCGCAAGTGCACCCACCAGGCCCTGTTCCTGGTCCTCCACCGCATGCTTCCCGCCCCGCAGGTGGGCCGTGGGGGCGGCGGCCGGCTTCGGAGCGCAGGAGGGGGATGCGGGAGAATGGAGAGAGGGAGGGAGCCGCAAATCTAGACCTTCCAGTTGGGGTCCTAGCAGGTGGGGTCGGAGGATCGCGCCGCCTCACCGATGCATCGGCGATGCGGCTCGCTGTGGAGCCCGATTGCCTCCACGCCGACGGCGCCGATGCAGATGCGGCGCGATCATCCGACCCCACCTGCTCCGGCCCCATATGGGAGCAAGGGCGCCATCGAGGGCGCGAAGTTATTCGCGCTTCGCGGTTCGGCTCCGATTCCTCCTCATCCTCCTCTTCTCCCCTGGGAGAAGGCGCGAGAACGCGAAGTTAGTCGCACTTTGTGCTTCGCGCAGCGCGAAGCGCGAAGTTGGGAGCCCTTGTGAGAGGCATTGAACCAAAGACCACCTCTGGCTCAGGAGGGGTCTGGCCATTCGGCCGAGGCTCCAATCCGTGTCGAGGAGCCGCTTCGTGGCCGGGGCTCGCCGCGGTCCAGAGCACAGCGGCGCCCTCGAGGGCGCGAAGTGATTCGCGCTCCGCGCTTCGGCTCGGAGTCCTCATCATCCTCCTCTTCCCCCCTGGGAGGCGGCGCGAGAGCGCGAAGTTATTCGCACCTCGCGCTCCGCGCAGCGCGAAGCGCGAAGTTGGGAGCCCTTGCGGATGCGGCGCGATCATCCGACCCCACCCTGCTCCGGCCCCATCTGGGAGGCATTTGACCAAAGACCACTTCCCGCTCAGGAGGGGTCTGGTCATTCGGCCGAGGCTCAGATCCGCGTCGAGGAGCTGGTGCGTGGCCGAGGCTCGCCGCGGTCCAGAGCAGATACCTTCCTGCCTTGCGTACTTATACTTGGCGTTTCCCCATAGAATTTGTTTCTTATATTTCTTGCTTCCCTTCCTTGCATCCTTCCTTCCCCATAGAATTTGTTCCCCATACTATGCTTCCTTCCTTGCTTCCTTATACTTGGCGTTTCCCCACGGAAGCGCGATGACTGGCTGCGAGCTCGTTGCAGGAGCAGCGCCAGGCGTCCTGCTGCACGCCGGCTCGGGGGTCAGTGCGCCGGTGTCCCTCCCAGCCTCTCGGCGACAGCCCGCTGGCTGAGGCACGCTGGGAGGACTTCTTCACATGTTCCTGTTCGCGGCACGCTGTGCTTATACGGCATGCGATGTCCTGAGTTCTTGAGGTCCCGAGGCAGGAAGGGGTGGAGATTGAAGGGGGGAGGACGAGCATTGACAGAATGATGACGGAGGACTTCGGCTTCAAATCATGGGAGCCTCGTGTACCCTTGCAGCTCTGTCTTTAGAAAGCACTCGCTGTGATTAGCGTCTTGTCAGAGTGAGGGGGCCGAACGGTCATTCACTGTCCCTGGGTGCGTGGCTGATGTGGAATTCCGCGGTGCGGATTGTTGTTGTTGTTGTGGTTGTTGTTGTTGTTGTTGCTGCTGCTGCTGCTGCTGCTGCTGCTGCTGTTGTTGTTGTTGTTGTTGAACATTATTACTTCTAAAGAATAATTATTGTTGGGACCCCTGGTGCACGGCCCCCTCGCCCTGCCTAGGCCGCAGCCATGTTTTCATCATTTTCGTGAGGAAGTCTCCGGCAAAACGGGTTGGTCCGGATCCGGTTGTTTTGTTACGGGCGGTTTTCCCTTGCAAAAAGTAGGCAAAGTGGACATTTCTTGTTCTAACATAACCAAACTTCAAGAATCCCTTGCAACAAATAAGGTAAAGTGGACATTCGCGCGCGCAAGACGAAATCCTTCCAAAACCTTAGTGTTCGTAGCGATTTTAACATAAAAACATCAAAAAAACAATGGTTTTCCAAAACAAAAAAAAAAGGTGTCAAAATTTCATCCCGCGCGCTCTTGCGGATTTGTAGGAAACCCAACACTTTTTAAACATTTCTGTCAAACGGGCTTTTGCGAGCAATTTTTTCACGTGCTTCAACGGAAAAACGTCGTATCAGACGCTAGCGCCTCACCAGCCAAAGCAGTCCATATCATGGTAGGACCTACAGACAGTACCGGCGTCGTACTGGTTTACCGTGGTTTCCTATTCTAGCGTCAGGAAGACGTTACCACCAAGAACCAGTACAGGTGTCCAGTGTTGGAACAGGGGGAAAAGTCGTATAATAAGCTAGCGTCCAGAAAATGTTACCACAACAAGTCACTGTACCCATGCGCCAGTGTAGTAGCCACGGTCGTCCGCAGGCCACGAAGTGAAGTGTCCGAACGTCATAGGGCGGGAAGCTGGGTGTGGGTGGTGGCGAAGAGTCGTTTGGAAATGTGGTAGAGCTTGAACCGGCCCCCCCACAAAGTGGGGGTATTGGCGGGCGTCGTATGAAAACCCTGGCACTGGTGAGAACGGAGTGTCCCCACGTGCTAGTAATTGTTGTTGTTGTTGTTGTTGTTGTTGTTGTTGCTGCTGCTGCTGCTGCTGCTGTTGTTGTTGTTCTTGTTATTGTTCTTGTTCTTGTTATTGTTGTTGTTGTTGTTGTTGTTGTTGTTGTTGTTGTTTGTTGTCGTCGTCCCACCCGCAACCCGCCCCGCGACCCACCCGCGACCCACCCCGCGACCCACCCCGCGACCCACCCGCGACCCACCCGCGACCCACCCGCGACCCACCCCGCGACCCACCCCGCGACCCACCCCGCGACCCACCCCGCGACCCAACCCGCGACCCACCCCGCAACCCCCCCGCGGCCCACCCCGCGACCCACCCGCGACCCACCCGCGACCCACCCGCGACCCACCCGCGACGTACCCCGCGACCCACCCGCGACCCACCTTCGACACAAACCACATTCAAGGTACAAATCATAAGTTTCGGCGCCTGCGGCGGGCTTTTTTGCATTCCTTCCAAGTGGAGAGCCCGCGACACATCCCGTGACCAACTCGCGACCAACCCGCGACCCAAACCACGTTCAGGGTACAAACCACATTTTTCGGCGCCTGCGGCGGGCATATTTTGCATTCGTTTCAGGTGGAGAGCCCGCGGCCCACCCGCGACCACGTTCAGGGTACAAACCACATTTTCGGCGCCTGCGGCGGGCATCCTTTGCATTCGTTCCCTGTGGAGAACCCGCGGCCCACCCGCGACCCAAACCTCGTTCCGTGGACGAACCCATTTTTTTGGCGCGTGCGGCGGGTTGCTTTTGCATTCCTTCCAGGTGGAGGTGGAGAGCCCGCGACCCACCCGCGACCTAAACCACGTTCACTGAACAAACCAATGCCGCACAAGCGCGGCGGCGGATTCTTGCATGCCGTCTGAGCCCGCAAGGACCTCTTCACGCCCCGCACATCCACGCCAGCCCGTCCAGCAACTTTGCCCTGGCGAGTTGTCTTGATCAGAGAAGGCGGGGAGCATAAAGTGGAAAAAAAGATTGCGTTGCAGTTATCTTGGGAAAGGAGGGGGAGGCAGGATGAGTAAACAGGGGACGAGGAGAACGTGGAAGAAGAGAGGATGTAAGGAGAACGTGGAGAAGAAAAGGAGGAGGAGCAGGAGGACGAGGGGGAGGAGGGGGAGGAGGGGGAGGAGGAGGACGAGGAGGGGGAGGATGGGGAGAATGATGATGATGGACGACAATGGGAGGACGATGATGGAGGCCGATGAGGGGGAGGACGACAATGGGAGGACCATGATGAAAAGACGAGGGGGGGAGAGGAAGGACGAGGAAGAAGAGGAGGAGGAGGAGGAGGAGGAGGACGAGGTGGAGGAAGAGGGTGACGATGACAATGAGGACGAGGAAGAGGAGGAGGAGAAGGAGGAGGAAGAGGAGGAAAAGGAGGAGGAGGAGGTGGAGGAGAGCGCCATCGACAAGGAATGTGGGGGCCACGAGGTCCGCCGGCTCGACGACGCCCGCGTCGCCCGTGCCCGCCCCCTCACTCTTATCCGCAATTGCGGGGTGCTACGCGAACGATGATTTAGCGCCACGTTAGCGTCGAGTAGCGTCGATGAGCGTCGACTTAGCGTCGACTAGCGACAGCGCCGATTCGCAAGAGCCAACGGAGGCTCCTACAAGTTGCCACCGGAGAGGCGAGGGGTAGGGAGAAAAACAGGAAAGTAGGAGCGGACGGACCCCATGCAGGAGGCCTTGGAATTCTTGACGCTTCGCGACCCCACCAGTGCTTGGGCCTACGTGTCCTTTCATCGTTGCTTCCTGGCCTGTGACTGGTTTCGGAACGATGGCTGACGCACCGGCCCCACCATGGGCACCGGTGTGGATCGTGGAGCGAGAGCTGTGCAGGTCCCTGCCCTGTCTCTGCCGACCCCGCGTACGGCGGTGGTACCTCGCGCTGAGTGGTACAGCCAGCGTGTCGCTTCGGTGCTACCTGTCTAATCGGCTAGGTTGGCTGCGCGGACTGGCGCCGACAGGGCGACGCTTCCGCTGCGTAGCACTGCGGCTTCTTCACCCCTGTGTGGCTGGCGCCTGGGTGCGTTCGCCTGGGTAGGTCGCGGGTGGGTCGCGGGTGGGTCGCGGGTGGGTCGCGGGTGGGTCGCGGGTGGGTCGCGGGGTGGGCCGCGGGGGGGTTGCGGGTGTGACGACGACAACAACAAACAACAACAACAACAACAACAATTACTAGCACGTGGGGACACTCCGTTCTCACCAGTGCCAGGGTTTTCATAGGAGGCGGGCAATACCCCCACTTTGTGGGGGGGCCGGTTCAAGCTCTACCAAATTTCCAAACGACTCTTCGCCACCACCCACACCCAGCTTCCCGCCCTATGACGTTCGGACACTTCACTTCGTGGCATGCGGACGACCGTGGCTACTATTCAGGGCCCCGCGGCCGACGACGACGGCGTGCGCGCGCGAAGAAAAAACGAATGTGTCCCGCATGGTATTATTTGACAGGGATGATGGCCCTGGCAGGTGCGCAACCGTTGTCGCAGAAGTTCGAAAAAGTTGCTCGCAAAAGCCCGTTTGACAGAAATGTTTAAAAAGTGTTGGGTTTCCTACGAATCCGCAAGAGCGCGCGGGA